GATGAAGAACCATGTCGGTGTTCTCCAGAAACGGTTGATGATGCAGGCCATGGACAGGGAGTATACCCTGAAGAGAGTGCAAATCCAAATCGATGTGGTATGTCGGCCCCAAAGAGATACATCATGAGGATACTGACTTTTTGCCAGTTGAATAATCTCATATCAGAGAACTACAGCCTTTCCAACTACATCATCTCTATATCTACTCTTCGCGACGCTGCATCCATGAAGACGTTGGCGTTTGTGACAATGTTCTTTTTACCAGGCAGTTTTATTTCGGCGCTCTTCTCGACTGATCTCTTCGATTGGGACAATGCACACGCTGATGGAGGAGATATCGGGATCAAAACCACACCACAGTTTCGATTATACTGGGCCATCACTATACCACTTACCCTCATCACGTTTATACTCTATTTTATGTGGGCTGAGTTCTCCAGCTTTGATCGGAGCCAAAGAAGAGAACGGAGAAGATGGGGGTTTCCCAGAACTGAGAGTATGAAAGCTCAAGACCAAACCCGGTCACCTATGCAAGTATTGAAAGATCAACGCGAACGTGTGAGTGAGGCGTATGCGATGGCTAAGAGGAGACAAACCGTCTTTGGACAAGGCGATAAAGATGAATCGATAGGTGCAAGGAATGAATAGGCCAAGCATTAATTGCTGAGATACCACTTGTGTATACTAGATTGTATGATAGCGACGTTGGAGTTGGTTGATGATTTGTATGCTTAGAAATATGATGGTGGAAAGTCTCAATCAATAAGTATTGTTCTCGAACTATGGCATTGTTGAAATAGCACAATCTGTATGAATGGAAAAGAGGAAATGTTATGTTGATCTAAAGTTCGAGGTCTTTTTGCCCCACGGTCGAGACTCTAACCCATGTAATGTTTCAACAACCAACAATGCAAATGGGCATGCAAATGCAATGGCATTCTCTTGTTCAGACCTTCCCGTTTCCATCTCTTCGGTCCAGCCGTTGAATCTCGATCCCATCTGCCTTCCTCGAGTCCCGCATGACGCAACAGCTCAATTGGCCATTTTCATGTGCCCAATCATGTTGAAGTCGGGGTATAAACTCGGACCAAACATATCCGCCCGCATGATCGATCGAGGCCTGGGCCTCTAACAAACAGATAGATCATAGATGTATGGCACAGTACACGCCAAAGAACCAACATCTAGCCTGATCCTTCTTCCCCTCATTCCCTTTTCCTTCCTTTTTACACTCATTTTCTTGTTTTCGGCCGTTCATCTTTATTCACGCCCGTTATTCTGAGGCGTCTTGACGGTTTTGTGAGCTTCATTGGAGGCTTGCTTGTGCTGTTACGACCGCCGATCTACGTCAGAATTGATTGGGAGTGACGGACTAGTCACATCAGCTCCAGCGCAAAAAATCAAAACAAAGCAGCAAGATTTCCGAGGCCTTCGCAAGACGACAGGACGCGGTACATTGCCATAATGGCCTCGCGTTCAGCTTCAGGTACTGCTAACTCAGCACCGGGAACTATCGTGCCTGCGCAGCTCGGCTTCCTCGCCATCTTCAACCCCACGCTTGGCAATACCGACGAGACCATCGAGGATCAGATTGTCTACTATGCCTCTGTTACAACACGAGCCGCGCATAATAAGCGCAGGTGCACTCGTGGCCAGCCAACCCAGAATATCTCTACAGAAGAGCGAAATGAGCGTTTGCGACAGATTGGCCTGGCCCAGGGCATGGCTAGTTTCAGCCGCGGTTTTGCGAGCGGTTCAACAGTAGACACTATCGACACCGAAAAATCAAGAGTCATACTACATGAGCTCGAGCCTGGCTGGTGGATCCTAGCGGTAAGAATATCACGACTCTGTTATGTTCAACACCATACTCACCGATATTACTAGAGCATCGACCTCACCAAACTACCTCTCCCTCCTCGACTCGCTACTAAGAAGAGTGAAGCCGCCGAAGAACGATACGAATACTCCAGTCGCGAGATGAAACCCGCGAGCCTGTTGTTGCGCGATCTGCTGCGAGCTCATAGCATATTCCTTATGCATCATGACTCCTCGTTAAGCGCCCTCTTCGTGCGTAACAAGAGAACAAAGTTCATCACTATATTGAGCCGATACTGGGATCTCTACCTTTCGACCTGGAATGTCATGATGCATGGGAACCCAGCTCGTGACATCTTCGGGGGCATCCCCATTGCTGCCTCTGGGGAGCTAGGCGTAGGTGTTGGCGAGGAAGAACGTGGTAGCGGCGAGCGAGCCGTATTGGAAGGACTGGTCGGGAGTATAGAAGGGCTCGTCGATTTAGTTGTTTCCAAGTTCGGGGACTACAACCCTGAATCGCCTCCTCCAAGCGACCCATATGGCGACCCTGAGCAATGGTTAGGAACAGGAAGAGAACCCGGTCCTGATGACGGTGCCATCTTTTTGGGTACCGGCGCTCTGTCCAGAAAATCAGTGAGAGACGTTACACACTGGATGGAGGATCTATACACCTGGGGCGATCATGCTTACGGCATCATAGAGAGTCCAACATCGGTTCGGCGCGCAAAAAGGAAAAGGGCAGCTGATCGGCAGCAAGCGGCTCAAGATCAAACACAGGCACCAGCCAGTGAACCCACGAAATCCTCAACAGGGAAACAGGCTGGGGAGAGTTTCAGCAAAGACCAGCCCCAAATTCAGGTGACCGAAGATGGCAAGCTGGATAAGATGGTTAGCTATCTCAAGTTGGGTTATGGTACATACTGGTCTTTGCCTGGCGGCACTGGTAGTGGTGATTCTCCTACCAAACAGCCCGAGAGTCCGCAGCAGGATCCTAAAACTACTCAAGACACAACCAAACTGGCACGACCTAGCCTCGCGGAACGCACGCCTTCGTATGAGGCTGCTGGCCACTACCTTATCGGTCTGAAAGGCGAGATCAATGAGGATTATAGCGGAACAGACAGTGCAAGTTCTGATGATGCTGGTGAGGGGGTACCTAATTCTCGTACTGTCTTGCGAACGGTAAACATTGAGCTTGAAAGTGAGGCTCTGGATAGACCAGAGGCCATAACTGTGCGTGACTTTGAGCATCCAGCCAATGCTCTCACGCAGTCGCAAGTGGTAGGGAATATGATACCTGGGTATGACTCCCACGATCTCAACAAGGCCAAGAAGCTGCGCGTTGTTGTCTACGTCAACCGACCATTCATGTTCACCTTTCTGTTTAATCTACGAACCGACTCCCTTGCCATGGATTCCCTCTATCGCTCCCTTCATCATCAACTCGCTCCTCTACGCAAGCCTCTTCTCCTCTCAACAAGTTATCGCCCGGAGCGACCTGGCACCGATGCAGGTTCTGGTAGCAGCCACTCGGGAAACAACATATATGATCTCGTCTGGGATCCCGTCTCATTGACGGTCCATTCATCAATACCAAATATACCAGAAGTTTACGATGATACGGAACCCTGGTCCCGTCCTGATGCTCTCAACACTCATCTTCACCTGGTCAACCTCTATATTGGTACTCGATCCCGTTCAACAGCTCTTGAGCGGACCGAAAAGTCCAGCCGTGGATGGTGGATCGTCTGGACACGTCTGCTCGACCGTCAAGAAAATGCTGCCACAGGGAATCTCTCTACAATTCACGAAGGCGGAGCTGGCTCAAATACAGACCAGAACACCTCTCAAGATGAAGAAGAGAGGAAATATTCTGGTCCCGATCCCTGGCATCCGGATGTTGCCAAGGAAATCTTCCTCATCCGCCGCGCAAGCGATCACGTCGGCTTCCGTACAGATTCCACGGAGGGTGCAGGCAAGCTCGCTCAGGGCATCGGCGTCGATACACGCCGCTATGTGGAGGAACTATTGAACCTGCTATGAAGGTTTCAGAATACACTGCATACGAGTTATGACTTGGAGTTGCCGTTGAAGGCCGTGCTACATGTATCAAGCCCCTCTTCTTGGATGAGGATGAGAATACGCAAACAATAAATGCGGTACGATAGACGTACTGTATCCATACATACATACATGCAAAGCATACGCACGGCTGGACGGGAGTCTTGAGAGTCTGTCAATGCCTATATTTGTATCCGTATCGATAGCTCGTATTCAAAACGCCTCTGTAAGGCGAAGAATCATTAACTAACCAACCGTGTCCCTTTTCTCCCCTTCCTTTATCCTTTTCCAAAAGGGCAATCGGAATCCTTTCGTGTGACGCTACCTGCTTTCCAGCCCTTTAACCCTCACTGAGGGGCCATCAGTAAAGTCCAGCTGAAGGGAGTGGCTTCGTTACACTGCTTCCAGACAGGTGCCCTCACTCACCTCTGGATACCAACTGTTTATTGACTAACCGTGCTATGACATCGACCAACACGACAAGGAATTTGTTTTAGTGCAATAGTTCGTCATTATTAAGCCGAGCGATATTCATTAGCAGAGTCAAGTTCCCCATTTCTGTTGGTTGATCGTTAAATGCTCAAGTTTCAGCTTAAACGAGAATTCATTTTAAAGTTGATCGCACATAGACCCTGTTGAAGACATGGGTTGGTTGACCAGGTCATAGTAGACATGGAGTAGCGACCAAAAGACCAGGATCCCCAAATTAGAACCCGCTCGCTTCATCTCAGCTAAGATTAGATTCAAAATAAACAATGCTAGACATGTCACAACAATTGAGGGACAGTCATATAACGTAATGTAATCAAATGTGCAGTCCCCGATTGAGGGTGCTGTATTGTTTGTCTATCCGAACGGCGTATCCAAAGTTATGTACATAGAAGTCAACGACTGTCAACCGTAGCTGATCCGCCTAAGAAACCAAAAAACACCCCAATCCAGAATCTCCAGGTCTAGGTCCAAGAGGTACCCAAGTGCCTTTTTTATGTCTCACGCCCCAGCGCCTTAAGGGGTGAAGAGATTCCCGCTTCATGAAAAGTACAAGTCGTAAGAAAAGGGTATCCTTCGTAGTGTTTTCATGATTCAAGAAAACATGTTTGTCATGGCGCTTAGTTGAACCACCACTCGACCTCAGTGCGGCCAGAGTCGAGGCTGCCCCAGATCTCCTCGTAGACCTTTCGGCTGACATCGATGTCGTTGAGAGCGCAACCCATACACTTATCGGCGACGGTAGCCTGGGCAGTCTTGCCGTTGGCCTTGATGGTGATGGTCTTGCCGCACATAGGGTTGTTGTTGGAAAGCTCACCCATCAGGAGGTGGGAGAGAGCGACGATGTTGATAGAGTCATCCTTGCCGGAGTCGTCCTCACCGCAAGCACCTTGACCAATGTCATAATAGGTGAACTCGCCCTGCTTGGCGGCAGAGCTGCCGCCAGAGGAGCTACCGCCAGAGGCAGGTTTGGCAGCCTTCTCCTGCTGAACGGGAGCGACCTCAGTCTCGGGCTCGGGCTCCTTCTTGGGGGCCTTGACAACAGGCTTGGGAGCCTGAGTGGTGGGCTGAGGAGCAGGAGCCTGAGTAGTGGGCTTAACGGGAGCAACGTACTGAGAGGTGGGCTCAGCAGCAGCCTCGGCCTCAGTGGTGGGCTCAGGAGGAGGAGGGGGAGGAGTGTAGACGCTGGTGACCAGAGTAGTGGTAGGGGCGGGAGGAGGAGCAGGCTTCTTCTCCTTCTTGGGAGCAACCTTCTTAGGAGCAGGCTGAGTTGTCTCGGGCTGAGGAGCTGTAGTAGGCTCGGCCTCAGGTCGGACCCAGACGGTGGTGGTGGCATCGACCATCTTGGTAACGTACTCGATCTCGGTCACCCACTCAACCTCGGTGACAACATCGCGCTTGTCGTTCTGGTGGTGACGGCGGTGGTGGTTTCCGTGAGGGTTGGCATGGGGCTGGGCAACGGCCGCAGCGGCGAGGAAGGCAGAAGCAAGAGTGAAAGACTTCATGTTGATATATGGATAGTTTGTTGTTATTGTTGTTTCGAGTTCTGTTGTTCAACCAAGGAGTGGCTGTAGCTGTGATACGTCTGGTGTGTAGACGAAAGGGTATCTCAACGCGATGGATTGCTAGGCAAAGGAAGGATGGTTTAGATTCTATTCCACAGGAACGAATCTATTCAAAAAAGAATTGAAGGAATGGATGTTGATCGTCGTGTGAGGGAATGTGTGCGTGAGAGTGAGAGAGTCCTGCTCAGTGCTCAGGTGGGAATGAGTGGTGTTTGAACTCGAAGAGATCGTAGGTGAAGAAACGAAACAAGGGGAGGAACCGACTCTTCCTTTAATACTACGCCTCGCCGTAAAAGACGGCGCCGGCTCATTATGCTAGCTCTTAAAAGACTTGGCTTTAGACTAGTACCTTACTCCTAGCCAGGTACCGAAGACTGAGGTGTGCCATCCATAACCAACGCTGCACGCAGTGTGTCCTCAAGCAACTGTGAGTCAAGGGTACCGCAACTGTAAGCAAAAGAACCGCAGGCGGCGGCGTACCGGATTCATCCCCGGTAGTAGAAGCTGAGAGAGAGTTCCGCTTTGGGGGGGCCTGGCCACGCGTGGTTTTTTCCAAAGAAATCCACCCAGGAGCATAGCCCACCCACCCAATTCCAAGCTAGTCTTTCTCGTGCCTGTCCTTGTTCCGAGGTGGATGGTGGAGACGAAACGGGCCACAGCACGGACGTGGCAAGCTGCCATCTCCTTCGCTCTTCAGGAGGTTTTCACTGGGCCATTGGGATCTGCTGAAGCCAGCCATAAAACACTTCCCTGCATACATGCATAGTAGTCTGCCCTAACAGCTACGTAAAAAAAATAAAAAATAAAAAAGCCAGAGCGCTACACAGCCTGAGAAGGAGGCCTGCGGAGAGGACAAGGAGAAGCAAAATCAACCCTGTCACCCTCCAGGGGTGCCGTGGCACCATCAAGGGGCATTCATCGTATTGTGCTGCAAAGTTGATCGCCAGCCTCCTCATTCAGAACTTCAAAACCCGTTCTCAATCAGCTAGCTGCCTCATCTGAGAACGTGTTTTCGGGGAACAGCGAGTCACGTAGTGCGAGCCGCGTCATCTCAGTCCAGTGCAGTTGGAGAGGTCGTCAACGGAATCATCAGAGTCATATCGCCGAGCAACTTTGATTTTGTCAGGTCCCTCACAACCTTTACAGAGCACGCACGCAGTTCAGTGGTCCGACTCAAGGCATATTTTCTCACCCAGGACGTTGTGATTGGTCAATCTGCAAGGGGCCGCCCTGTCGTCAGCTTCCGAGTTAAATCTTGTCAGGGCTAAGAGGCAGCCAATGACAGTCTATATGTGCCTGACGATGGCGGGGTCTGCGGAGCGAGAAAACAAGGAACATCTGACACTGATGGAGGACCAAACTTGGTGGGAGGGGGAGACAAGGTGAATCGATCTCTGAGTTGTCCTGTTCGCTGGCGCCCTGTGCCTGGCCCGAAACGCAGAGGCTTGAGAGGCTTGAAAGCACTCAACGAGTCAACTTGCGTCGGGGAGGTGTGGAGGAAGCCATGCGCCAAGTTGAAACAAGACCCATTTCTTCCCAGGTTCAGGACAACGTTAATCTGGGTGCCACTTCATCCACTAATAAACAACCCAACGGCTTGCTTACACGGCTTGCAGCAGTAAGAGCAGTTTTAGAAGCGTGAGAAAGTACCCAAAAAACCGGTGGTGTGAGGGAAATAAAAAGTCTTCTTTGCCGCCTTCTCTTGCTGGGTCGTTCGGCATAATGTTGGCGCCAATGCATGCGTGACGTTCACACTTGTTGAGTCGGGCTTCAAGGCCTTATTCCCTTTGCTTCGTTGTCTGTGTGAACATGTATGCGCTTTCACTGTGATGCGATGTGATCAAAATCTTGCGGTGTGCTTGAGATTTCTCAAGACGCAAAGGCTTCCAGCCCGCTTCCACAAGCGCTACATTCATCACTCTCAAAGCTCATGGACTTTGTTTTCTTTGCTAAGCACAGATATCATTGGTCCAGCTTGTACTGTGTCTTTTATTATAACAAAGGCGATAGACAAGTTTCAGGCACATGTCGCCCGGAGGATAGTCAGTAACGCAGGTGTGGGTGCTCTACATTTCTTTTCTCTCTTGCACGAATTCCGAGCCCTCGAATCGGTTGGAAAGTCAACAGTTTGAGGGCCCATATAGCTCCATCATATTGATACTTAGAGCAATACGTGAGGCGGACAATCATTGAATCGACTCAAGAACCCTCGAAAAACCCCTTGGCGACGTTACATAGAAGTCCTGTTGGTCAGACTTACTATGCAGTCCTATCAGCGTCAATGTGTTTCCTCATGAAAGGATCCAGTCGGGTCTCCGCGCGAGGACTCAACATGCATGGTCAGTTTTCAGGCGCATGCCAATAAAGATGCTGTGTAGACAAAGCATTTCCTTGACCTTTTTTATCATCTTGACAGCTGAGGTTGACTTTGGTTTTTGGTGGCTTTCGTTTGGCTTGTGCTTGGGCGGCTGGTGAAAGAAAAGAGGAAAAGACCCTGGCGCTGGAAAATGGGTCTATCCTCGTCGAATATTTCTTCAACCTTGAACGCTTTCTTAGCCATTTTGACAAAGGTCATGTCCGCGCGTCTCCTCTTCTTGAAACAGAAGTACACGACAGCTGCGGGGTTGAGCTCTAATAGAGCCTTAAGAGTAGACATCAGGAGAGGGAAAGCAGGTTCGAAATAGACGCATTCGCCAGCCAATATCACGTCTGGCTTTTGCTCCAGCACAGCAGCTGGCAAGTCTTCGCCCCTACATGAACAGACCAGTCAGCTTGGTGGCTCGCCTTCATCTGACCAGGGGATTGGTTTCGCAGAGTAGGAGGTTACACGTGATAATAAATCCGAATTCACGTACCAGTTGAGCACCATCGCCTTGGCTTTGTCTTGCAAGTTGTTTAGCTCGATGTTGTGCTGCATCAGCTCATACATCTCTAGCTGGTCCGTCACTAGCAACTGATTTCGAAGTTGACATTCTAAGGCGACGGCGAGACCGATGAGACCACCGCCAGCTCCAAGTTCCAATCTGCGGCCAACGAGTCAGCATGTCTACTCCGTCTTTCATTATACTCACACTGTCTATGCAGACCAAGACAAAGGACCCAGTCCAAGTCACATGCATGCGATAGCAGTGTCGAAGTTGAAGAAAGAGCGCGAAACTCACATCCGAGCGTCAGCAAGTCGGTCTTTGTGGTAACGCAACATATGCTTTCCGAGAAGCATTCCCGCGGGCCACGTTTGCCCACCACAACCAGATCGGACATCTTCGTGCACCTTGAGAGGACTGGAGAGGACGCCATCGAAATCGACAGTCGCAACACCACTGGCCTTGAAGGACGGCAATGGAGCAATATCCTCGCTGATAGTGACTGGGTCCATCAAGGGGGACGATGGTGGACTACTCATTGCGAAAGCCTTGTTGCTGTTCTTCCCTTCGACTCGAGTTCCTTGACTTTTGCAGAGGGTCAAAGAAAAATAGGCTGCGTGTAGTAGTCGGATCTATCACGACTAGTAAGCCCTCAAGGGATAGTGTTGAAGGGATATAGATGCAGTGGAGCTTGAGAGGCACTGCCCTGCAGATAAATCGAGGAAGATGGCTCCGTTCTATTCAAATGAAGCAAGAGGAATAACTTTCTATGACTTTGCTGTTCCGGCCCTTCAGGTAGGCTACTTCCTCTTGCACCTGCTAACCTAGAATGAGATAGGCTTCTACCGAGTTATCTGTGAAAAGAACAACTGCCCTGTGTCACCTGCAGACTTTTTTTTCTTTCATATCAACCTATGGCATCTCTTCCTACTCGACTGCTCCTCTTTTGCCTCTTCAACTTGGGCCGATTAGACTGCTGTTTTTTCCACTTGCATACGTGTGCGATCCAGACTCAAATAGACCCTTTTGTTTTTTTTTGGCCGTCGATCAAACGGTGCGCTGCATCCTCCGCTTAAATAGTCATCGAAACAGTTGAGCGATTGGCTCGTTAAAGGCTCTACGGGACTGACGATAGCGACTAAACTATCACAAAACTCATACTCCGTTTGGATAAGGGCTCCTCCACAAATTAATTCGCCGAGTTGCCCTTTAACAAGAAATCGCGAGTGATCCACTACTACCTCACTCGAGTGAGTGTTGCTACTAAGAGAGTTGATAGATACCGGGGGTCAATTCATGTTACATCAGGTTGACGACTCCTTGGGAATGGCCATGCTGAGTTTAATGATCAAGGGAGGCGATATATGATTTCATAGCCAATATATGCTCTTTTAACAACACCATTGCTAATTATTGACTCTCCCTCTCCAGCCTTCCTTCCCTAGCTCGGATGGAGACAGT